GAAAATAAAAAACCCAGGTGGTTTTCAAAAGTTCAGGAGGCAACAGGTGAAGTTTCCCCTGGTTGGCATTAGACACCCTACAAAATGGTACATGCCAAAGGACCAAGTGGTTTGGGAGGTTTTTTTTTCCTTAGTTTTTGTGAGATGGAGTAAGTGGTTTGTGTGTGTCTGAGTCTTTTTGTGTCTGCTGGAGAAATTCTGGTTCCTGGCAGGGTCACTGGACGGACATCGACAAAGAAGTCTATTATCTCAAAAGCTTTATTGGGTTGGGGTTTTATAGCAGTTGTGTTTCCATGGCAACCCATGGACCGGTTTAACCGGAAAAGAACAGAGGCCCTGCATAGATAACAAGATGATGGCAGGGCGAAATGGAAAACATACTATAAAAAGAAATGCCTGCTCACTCTGTGTTGCAAATGCTATTTTAAAATCAATGCCTCAAACTAAAAACAAGTTAATGAAGTCAATGGAGGTGAATGATAAATAATTGTTTATTTGATCATTACTCTAAAGAATAGATATCTAATATCCTGGAGAGATCTGTCAGCTCAGCTTGAGAAGAGGAAAAGGCATAATCGTTGTGGGTAAGCAGATTTGCTCTGGATGCTCCCGGGGAGATAATGCTGTGTAATTTGGATGAAATGAGGTGATTATTTTTTTATGTCGTTTAAGTTCTTCATCCATAAAGATTCCCCATACCTGAACTTGGTCTCATTTCCAGCCTATCCAAGATGTCTATTTTGAGTTACTTAAATTAAAAAATAACACTTTGAATAAGAAAATAAAAACTCAAAATGTAAATAAATTCAAAATAGATGTCAACCTGTATGTTGACAATGCAGAGTGTGTTTCTCTACAGAATTGTGGGCAAGGAGCAGCCGCCACTGAGGATATCCTATAGAACCATAAACCATGAAGGTTCTTGAACTACCTTAATAGAGGTATTTAACCCTCCAGAGAAAGTGACCATGACAATAGTGTCCTGGGACCAGCTCCTACCAGTCCACGTCACTATGTCCTTATGCCCAGTGTCCTTCCAGAGAATTTTCGTTCAGGTAGTTGGCCATATCCTGATAAAATGGGAATAACTCATAATAATGAACAATTATCTCAACACTGTGGATAAAGCGTTTTCAAATCTACTTGTTAAAAAGCAAGTGTTACAATTGTCCCTACAGTTTGGGACAAAAAAAAAAAAAAAAAAAACAATTTCAAGAAAGTTTTTCAAAGAGCTAGTCGGTAGATGATCTGGTATTCCAATCTGGGTCTCCTGATGAAGAAGATGCAGGCAATAATAGCTGGAAGGTCTTATCCCTTCCAGAATTATTTTCATCTTAATGGAGAACTTTGGAACCTAAAAGTCTTCAGAAACGAAAGTGTTTACTCTCCACCGTTGAAAATTTTAGATTGTGTCTAGGGTCCTCTGTCCTAAATCACCTGAGCATCTTCCCAGTTTAGCCTCTCCTTGGCTGGCCCTCCTCTGAGAAGATTTTGGCAGCTTGACTCATTTGGGAACGAATCCCACATCTTAACAGTGTTTTGCTATCAGTTGTTCAATAGGACATTCTCATTAAGGGTGGCACAAATTTGTATTTGCCAGTCTCCTCACATAACCAACT